TATATATATATATATATATATATATATATATATATATATATATATATATATATATATATATATATATATTAGACCATAACTTGTTGAGAACGGTACCAAAAATTATGAAATATTTATGTGAATAACCACCCACGGTGTGCTGATAATAACGTTCTGCATGAAGTTCAACTTTTAGTTTTTTTATGTTTAAATTATTCTTGGATTATCTACTTTCACCAAAATTACATTCTATGTTACTTATCATATGTGTTATGACGTAATATTGTTCAGATTGTTCACTATCCATGAACATCCTCTTTTCGACCCTAACCCCAACATCGCAATTTTCCCAATGTGTGGTATCCTGTCTCACTTCCTGTTGTATCTCCAAATCTCAGCTCAGTAACAGGCAGCGTATTCTTGTCAGTCAGATATCCACTGTCCTCATGCCAATAGTTGTCATTCTTGTCACAATTACATTTTCTTCCACCATCACAGCTGTTAGCCATTCCACAAGCACATTTTCCACTGTTGATTGCCGCTCCGCCCCAGTAATTCATCCGTTGCCCTTGACGTGATACCCACCAAGCATAATGAGATCCACCGTGCCATATGACGCTAGCAAGACATCTATACGTTATAAATTGTTCACATCTCTTGGACTGCTTCATAATGGCAACAATATGTTCCATGGAAATATCATAGTTAATCTTTCGCTTGTAAGAACCTGGACTTTCATATCCATTCACACGTGTCCGCGATTCACTGTTGTGTCCAATCACTGTCACACCAACACCACTCTTTGAAGTCATGTCACAGTATACTTGAACCAATGGCGATGAACTGAGTCCTTGAGGGCTGATATAAAACATTCCACTGCGTGTTGAAGGATGTTTTGTTAACAAAACTGAACAAGTAGCTGGATGTAATCTGTCAATGCGGTTAACAATATCTGAAAAAAATAAGGATTATATAAGGAACATAATAAAACTGCGCATATTCCCTAAACATGACTAGGAGCGAATAAAGCGTGTTTTCAGAGCTATTTATTTTATTGGATGGTGAAGAAATCTGTACAAATATATATTAATTTTGATCTGTCAAGTTTTGAACTTTACTATTCAATAAATGGTATTATTTTACAAAACGAAGTAACTATATTATAAATCCGGGCCAGTGGCCGGGCAATATTTTGAGAAAAAAGGCCCGTACTTCCAATTTTTGCGACAACTTCTTGTGCAATTTTCTCCTTCTCATGCATGTAAACGAATATAGAAGAGTTACGGATGTTCGGAGCACATGTACCCTCATCTGAACATTCATAACTTATCCACTCGTTCACATCCATTAGGAGAAGAAAATCGCACTTTAAACATCGCAGCAAAAACTGCAAGTGTAAACGAGCCTTAAAGTATCTAGCAATGGTTTAATTTCTAACTGTTTAATCTGATTAAATAAACAAAGCCCAACCCCAAAATTCATCACGCCAAATCCAATAATACTCGCTAGAAGTCATAACTAAGAAGAAAAAGTTTAAGAGTTTGTTTCAATCACAGGCCGTTATCACTCCGCCACCTTGTCCTTGGCAGTCCATCAATCTGTTAGAAAACTACTATTTATCCGATGCAGTAGCTTTCTCTCTTAATAACAATGGCGATCGATTACTTAAGGGAGAAAAGAACATTTATCATGCTCTTTTGTACTACTTTATTATCGGGACGAGGACTGAGTGTGTAGTAATGTATTTTTGGTTACCTTCATTTTGTTTCTTCAGCTCCTTAATTTTGTTTTCTAGACTTTGCTTTAATTGTTGAAGCTATAGAATAAAGGATCTAATCTTCAATAAGATAATAGGTGCAACCGTATACAGGGTGTATAAAAAAAAACTGAACAGATTTGAAATTGCTCTCAATTTCGCAAAACACCTATATGTATCCACTTTTTTATATATATATAGCTTCTTTGGGTACTTATAATGTAAAATAATGAAAAAAAATTCTCGAACTCAAATTTTGTGAACCAGGGGGCTGTGTCTTTTCCAACAAACTAAAAATGGCTCGCGCACAAAATTTAAAAGCTGTAATCATATTTTGAGTTAATAGATGGAGAATCGGTCGGGTTTTTAATTACTGTACAAAATTTCAGACAATTTGGTTTAGTTTAAGCCCTTTAACAATATATTCATTTTGTTCTAAAAAGTCAGCCTTTCGCATGCTTAATTAATGCCTTTACCTAATTTGCATATTGCTGATATATGCAAATTAGGCAAATGTATTAATTAAGCATGCACATAGCTGATTTTTAGGAAAAATGTAACTTTGCGTGTAACTTTGAGCTAAACCAAATTGCCTGACAAAAAACCCGACAAATTTTACATCTGTTAACTCAAACTATGATTGCATCTTTTAAATTTTGTGCGCGAGCCATTTTTAGTTTGGTGGAAAAGACACACCCCCCTGCTTCACAAAATTTGAGTTCGAGAAATTTTTCTCATTATTCCACATTATAAGTACCCAAAGAGGCTATATATATAAAAAAACCGGATACAAATAGCTGTTTTGCGAAATTGAGAGCAATTTTAAACCTGTTCAGTTTTTTTTATACACTCTGTATACTTGTTAGGTCAGACGCCCTATGGTCGTAATATTTTATGATGAAAGCTTTCGACTGTCTGACTGCAGCCTTCAGCAGGTTAAAATGACAGAAAGTATATAGATATTGCAAGTGCATGTGGCCTATATATATAATTTCAGAAGAGATAATATATTCGCATCCGATCTAAATTAAAATCGGTTGCTCATGTTTTATCTAGTATATATATATTTATGTATATATATATATATATATATATATATATATATATATATATATATATATATATATATATATATATATATATATATATATATATATATATATATATATATATATATATATATATATATATATATATATATATAACATATATATATATATATATATATATATATATATATATATATATATATATATATATATATATATATATATATTTATTTACATTTAATTAGTTATCTTAAAATGTTTCAATTTTTATGATATACAATTAATTCGCTGTGCTAAATATTTGTAGTATTGAGCACTCTTTTATCTATAACGAAAAACAAGGCTGTTTATATATATATATATATATATATATATATATATATATATATATATATATATATATATATATATATATATAAATTTAACCTTTTGGGGTAACTAACCTCTTGTTTAGTGCTTAATGCTTGCCACTCAGATCCTTCATTGACATAAAGATGTTTATTATCTGCACGGTATGAAAGAAGACCTGGAACATTCGGAATTTTTTCGAAATTTTCTTTGTTCGATACCGTCAAAGTCTACAAACGAAAGTACAGTAGTTTGTACCCTGAAGAATCAGTTGTGTATAAAGTGTATGGCAAAGCATCATGATAAAAATTAATTTTCATGATATGCCGTGTATGTGCCAGTCATTCCTAAAAAGTAAAGGAGAAACAAATGTCTATAAATTATACAGTACTCATTTGATAAAGTATCATGATGAATAGCCATTATTCGAAAATATTTTGTCAATTAAATAATGCAACAAAAAGATAACTTTGCTTCGCTTGAGTGGACATTAAATTAAATTAAAATAATTAATCAAGACTTTATATTAATTTTATATACTTTTATCCTGATTGATTCTGAAAATATTTTGACACAAAACATTTTCAATATATTTTTAAATATTTTCTTAATTTTTAATCAACAGGCAATGATCAATATGAGCCTGAATCTCGTTTCTGGTTGCTGTTTCAAATTTAGAATTGATTAAAAGTATAAGTAAAATAAAATAAAAAAGCGTCAAAAAACGTAGGAAGTGTATTGTTCTTGCTCGTTACAACATACGAGTGCTGTTTTTGTTTCCCTCTCTTTGCTTTCTTGTCCTCTCCGTTTGATATTAAATTGTTTTGAAGTTATCAGATAAAAGAATAAAAAGGCGTAGCTGAAACGAAGCTCCAGAATATTAAATATTGATCATATTCTCATGTAAATTTGCGCGATATAAATATTAAATTATTATTATTATTATATACTTACACCTTCGTTCAAAAAAGTCTTAAATTGTTTTGAACAGGAACTCTAAAAAAAGCACAATATGTCATTGTCGTCATGAAATGAAAAGTTGTCATTCTTTATCAAACATTGAATTTATTGTATAATCTTTGTTGCATGTTCATGTGATTATTTATCGTTGTTGTCACTGTTGTGTTTGTTGTTGTGTTTATAGCAATAGTTGTGTATTGTTTGGTGGTGGTGGTGTTTCCATTTTTGTCCTGTTTTGAATGTTTTCCGTTCTATTCGGTTTAGCCACGGTTAGATATTACAACTCCTGGGGCTTAGTCTCAATGAGGGCATTTTCTCCACACAGTTTATACAGGTACATAAAAATCACTCTGTGCTAGTCAGGGGCAGCGGCACTGATATTTGAATAGACGGTGCATGGGTGGGTGTAAGTGAAATATGGGGTACTAATTTGAAACGCTAATTAGTATTTCTTTTCATCCAACTGGGATTAGATAATTTGCCGACCACATGATGGATTGGGAGTGTTTTAACCTTTTACTAATAATCAGAAGGACCCAGCTAATTTAAAAACATGCTTCACTACTGGGGCAAGCAAAGGGCCTACTGCGGCAAATGCCCCAGTAGTTATATAGTTAAACAATTCCCTGGTTCGGTTCTGTCCTGTCTTGTCCTGTCCTATTCTGTTCTATTCTGTCCTATTCTGTCCTATTCTGTCCTGTCCAATTCTGCCCTGTCCTGTCCTGTTCTGTTTGGTTCTGTTCCGTTTTGTTTTGTTTTGTTTTATCTTGTGTCCTTTAATAAGAGTAGAAAGAGGAAGTGTTACAAATCCGTTTCATGTGAAGAAAAACAGCCATTTCACGTTTCCCATGTATAAAATTAATCATTTCATGAAAATTAAAAAACACGTTTTTATAACTGTGTATAAATTTTAGTTTTTTTCCATGATTAAAAATAATCTAATTACACTCTATTCTAACGTCTGAATAAAAGGCCGTTTTAATTAATTAAGGTTTTGTATTTATGTCTGTTGTTACCTTATATATAGTGCCAGTTTTTGGATCAATGTAATGTTTTTCATATTTGCCTGCAGAATTATTAACTTTAAACTCCATGCACCGTTCCCACAGTCGAGTAGGCATTCGAGTTCGAACCCAAAACCAAACAAAAGTTTTCTTCATTACTGTTCCTCCATTAATTGCAGTACATTTAGGACCACAGTAGTTTTGTCTTCCACCTTTAGGGCCAAAACATGCACAACACTAGAAAATGAATTTGAAACAAATTACCAGCTTACCAAAAAATGGAATTCAGAAAGGTTGTAATTTTGCAACAAATTTTTACTTATATTATTACAATAAATTGATATGACGGAGTGCAATGGAGAACGTCTTTGATATCAATGTTTCAAATATCTTACAAATTACAGTATTATGTAGCAAGTGCCAAAGTTTGCCGATTGGACAAAACCATATGACGTTCCGGTCCACAAAACGTCATGTTCACTGCATGTTTTGGCAAAGGGGCAACCAGTTGACAATGAAACAATAGGCCCTTCCAAGATAAAGGACGCCATTTTGAATCTATTGCTTTCACCATTGTGTTTCCACCCCTTGCCAATTTACTTATAGGGTATTATTAACTGGTTAATAATAAAACTGGAAGTGAGGCGCAAGCGCGATCGCGTCAACCTGCGAATTCAAAGCAAAGTTTTTCAGTCGAAAGTTTCATGATTGCCGGACGGTTTTATTACAGTTTCGAAATACCAGGTGAATTACTGAAACTTTGACACTTGTTATATAATCAATACGCAACCAACCACTCGGCCGCCGAGGCCACAAAACATGCTGTTTCCCCAGCCTAGTCCCAGGCTCTCTCTCTCTATTCGCTGCTTTGATATATTTAAATAAGACTTAAAAGTTTTATGCCTGGGTGTGCTGTGCGGAACGCTTCAGCGAGAGAGCCTAGCAGATTTCGGTAAAATGGTCCCTGATTTCAAAAAAGTGGTCCCTGGCCTGGTTACCAAGCATACCACCTTTGTAAATAGAAAATGTTATGGAAATTTCCTTTGCGTTTATCGGAACTGTGAAATAGGCTGTCGGAACAATGAAATAGGCTACGTTTCTAAGGCTACTAAATCTGACTCGTGTTTACTAAAATATAAAGCCATAGTAAATGCTATATAGAAGCTTGAAAATTATGCCGAGTCTCCGACTAAAAATGTTTTGACAACACAGTCGTGTCAGGCATGCAAATATTTCCTATCTCCTCAGCTACTTAAACCTGTCAAGTAGAAAGCGTGGTTGTGTATACCAGTATGATCTATAGTGTTGATTAGGGATGAGCCGATAAGGAAAATTGCCGATTACTGAGGCCGATTATTTATAAGCCGATTATTGTACCTAATCGGCCGATTAATCGGTACCCGCCGATTATTTTAAAAAGCAAGCGAACAATCACAAGATGACCAACAATGAAGTTGTAAATGTGGTTTTATTGTTTACAATACACATTACGTACAATTGAAAACAGCTTCAATCTTGCATGTCAATAGTCAAAGTTTAGTTTTGGAAGATTATGGTGTAAAAACAGGATATTGTCAGTTTTGCGGAGCTAGTCTGCTGCGTTTTTCACTTCACTTGAGACAAAAGACACCGGTTTTGCAACAAAATGTGAAAATCTATTTGCTTGTATTCAGTATTTTAGCATGTGCTTGGCAGCTGCAGAAAAAGTCTTATGGCCGATTATTTGCCGATTATCAAGCAATAATCGGCCGATTACCGATTATTTAAAAAACGGCCGATTATTTACTGATTAATCGGCTCATCCCTAGTGTTGATCACAACTTGCGAGTATATATATAAATAACATCAACGATTATACGACCATTGCTCAGACTCAGTATCATAAATTTGTATATAATTTTTTTTGACCGAGCACATTTTTAATACATGTATAGCTTGATCAACGAACATTGTCGTATTTACAAGCTTATTTGTATACATAAATTTTCCGGCATATTAAAAATACTGAAATCTGCTAGGCGTTCTGAAGCACCTTTAGCGGTGACGTCACACCTAGGTCCCAGTCTCGTACTACATCCACGTTTTTTCTCGCGCTTGCTTCAGAACGACTGGGACTAGGCTGCGGCTGGCCATCTGCAAATAAAATTTGCAGCTCTTCACATTGTCAAAATACAACTATTCTTGATCGCTTTTTTAGTTAAACACATTGTAAAATTTACGTATTGCCCGTGGGCAATACGGGAAAATCCTGCCTCGCCAGCAGCCAATCAAATTGCGCGATTCGTCAAAACAAATACTTGCCATATAATAAATTGGGTTACAGCTTGTATTTGAATTTAATCGAGTATGAAATTGCCAGGACTAAGTCGTAGCCGTATTCGGCAGTGGAATTACTTCCATATCGTGTATAGCAAGTGTTGTATATGAAATTAAAATACTCATTAAAAATTCATAAACCTTGTGGCAAATCATGTCAGCCCAAAGATGTCAGCCATAACATGTCACGTGGAGTGACTTTATATCTGATAAAACTCATCTTCATTAGTATTCTTTATATAATTGTTCATCCTAATTAGTATGATTATATAATTGTTCATCCTAATTAGTATTCTTTTGTGGTCGTATTTTAGGCTATTCAAAATACGAGAAGCAGTGTTTTATCATATCTAAAACGCTCGGCTGCTCCTCGCGTTTTAAATATGATAAAACACTCCTTCTCCTGTTTTAAATACTACATAATCCTGGCCAATAATTCCGTAGGTAAACTGTCGTTTAAAGAAAAAATGTCATATAAAGGAACTGGAACGCTACCTTCCGAGAAACTATTTTCCATTTTTTATATAAAAGTAATTTCCGTATATACTTCGTAATTCTCCCTCTTTATGCGCCCGTACGCGTTCAGATGTTTTTGATAAAATAGAATTATGTCACATACAAGTTAATGTTCATAACAGATTACCACGATACTCTATCACAAGACGATTCCTAGACTTTCACAAAGTCATTCGAATTTTCACGAACATACTTTACAAAAAGAGTAAGGAATTTGCGGAATTCCAGATGTTTTCACCAACTATTTTTACGTTTCCCACATGTCCGAGTTATTATGACTTTGTTGTGTAAGTCTAGTTTCCAATAACAGCATAAGTGAATAGAGAAGACGTCGTTACGAAGAAAGGTTTTGATCCGTCCTTGTGTCTGGTGCTGTGTGCCTATGCTTTATTCTATGTTGCATGGGGCTGTTTTTACATGCTTTCCTGCATATTATTGCTCATTGCGTAACTCGTGTGTCAAAGTAGGACTGCCTATCGAGTATCGTGCAGATTATTCCTATGATGTCACCTATGAGGTAAATGTAATGTAATATAAGGACATACGGTAAACTCTCGCAAGATGGCAGCTGCTTAATTTGAATCGTAGCTGCGTATTCATTTTTGAATTCTTTTCCCTTCTGGTGTCCAATGGAGGGCCACACACGTGCTAGTTGATTTTCTCAGCATATTTGCAACGAAAATATATAGAAAGATACCGTTTTATTTTTTGTCATTGTCATTTTGTCATTAGTTTCAATAGGGTAGGTTTGGAAAAGAAAACCGTGCGGAACAAATGGAAAAGGAACGTGACTGGAAAAAAATTGGAAGCGATCCAATCTCGTACCCAGGGCTTGCTTTGGGATTGGAGTGATCTTATTTTGCGGCAAATCTTTCTAACAACCAATCGGATTGCGATCATATTTTTCGATAAATCACTGTCTAAGCACCATAGATATCTTGCACTGACTGGAATACGATGGAGAAAAGTGTTTCAGGAGGCGACATGTTGGATCGCTCAGTAGGCGGGAAGGGGGGCACCGCCTTTACAGATCATACTTGCACCTTGAATATGCTGAGATAAGGAGCGGTCATGCAAAGGTACCCGATAATTGTGATCTCCCCAGTCAAATCACAGAATGTGATGGCAATCACTTTAACATAGTGGAATCCTCGCTTACGGCCACGTCGTTAATTAAAAACCACCTCATTTATTACGGATTATTTTGTCTTGGTTAATTAATAAAACTTTGCACATGAAGTAGCACCGTATGTTCTAATACAATTTTTTGTTGTTGTTTTGGAGCGCGGGCTCATAAATAAAACTAAGATGGATTCAACAATGGAGTTGTAAATGTTTCTATATAGTGTTTTAGTACCTTCTGATTTTCTTGCTGATTCAACTGCTCACATTATTAATATGTGCGTTTCTTAAGACAAATGTTGATGATAGTTGATCCCTTTTTAAATTGTCGTAATTTTACTTCGAACTTTACCTGAGAGTATAAACCGTTCTCTATATTTTATTAACCTTCATAGGGCAGAATATTGGAAATCTCAGCCGAAGAAGTTTTGCGATTTCTGTAAATGTTGGATAGCAGATAATAAAGCGGTAAGATAAAGAATATTATAAATTCAGGTCTCGAAATAGAAAAAAAAGGCCTGACAAGCTATTTTCTTGTTGGCAGGTCAAATAAATTATCAAATATGGTCTGCAAATTATTTCTATTTTGAACTGCCAAAATGGCCCACTCTGCTATGAAAGAAATAGATGTTAATTTTCTTCACTGACTTAAACTGTCCTTTTTAACTCTGGTGTTAACACTTTATCTCCTTTATGTTATGAAACATTAAATTTGCCACCCAGATTTTAATTGGACAAGTGACTATATTGTCAATTGAAACATATGGATTCAATGTCCGGATGAATATGCCATTATGAACGTACATTTTCCAATCTTGAGTGCTCATTTTATTACACCAGAGATTCCAACTACTGGAGGTAAAATTTAGGGGGGCTGTTCAATGAATTGAAATCTAGTTCTTCTGGGAAAAAAATAAAAACTAAGTCTTCTGAAAATACTGAAATGGCATTTCCTGCATTTTGGGAGTATGTTGTTATATGTGATCCTATAAATTGCCATAAAGTAACTTCATAAAAAGGTCAAGACAAGGTATTTATATGGTGCTAAAAACAGTATATTTATGATTTTTTACGATATTTCCTGAATATTTTGAAAAATCGGGGGAATTTCATAACAATCGGGAGACCAGGAGATTGCATGAATTTTCAGGAGACTCCCGGTAAAATCAGGAGAGTTGGACTGTCTATTACACCCTTTACTCCTTTATTACACCCTTTACCAAAATCCTTCAACATTTGTTCAAATATCGAGTGAGATGCAAAAAATCCTGGTCTTTACAAATAAAATTTCAGCCAAGCTAGTCTTCAGATCAATTTTATTTTACAATTATTAGGGGCATGCACATTATGCTAAGAAATTTGCCCATTATTCTATTTTTTAATTCTCTTGACTTTATCCTATTATTCTTTAAATTTTCCCCTATTATTCCCAAAATTATTCTACATCAAGTCGAATCAAGACCAGAACAAAATAAGAATTTTATTTCTGTAAGGGATGTGGGACTGTAAATTTCGTCAGATTGTCAATTTCATGTGAATTTTGCATGATGGTTCCAGTAATGAAAAATAAATAATGCATAACACCATAGTCCAAAAATTCTGCGTACATAATGTATTTAGAGACGTACAGTACACATGTGCAATGTCATGCCGCGGACGGATGGCGCATATGCTAATGACGTAATTTACTTTGCCACAATGACGTCATACTGAAATGTTTGCCTATTATTCTTGCTTTTGCCCATTATTCTTGGTTTCAAAAAAATCCCCTATTATTCTAAAATAAATTGTGTCATACTGTGTGTATCCCTAACAATTACAGAATGAGGTTGAGCATGATATAAAGAATTATCAATCCCAAATACATTAATATATTTTTAAGTGTAAGAAATGAATGTCTAGAAATTAAATCTATGTCTAATAGATTAATTGCTGAAGAAATTTGCTGTCCACCATATGACCATAAAACATGGGCTATTAGTAAAATACGGAACACACAGAGCACGGAGCACACAGAGTATGGAGCAGTAGAAAAACCAAAATCCTTTATGATAAAATACATTGTTTACTATTACAAATTTTTGTTATTATTAATAAAGATTTTCAGCGGTTTGCATGTTGGAAAAGTAAAGGCCTGTTTAAACGGATCCAACATTGTTGGACCAACATCATCCAACAATGTTACTATACTAGATATGACTGCTTCTCTTTCAAATCTTTTTGGTTAGATAAGCTTTACTCAAACCCTAAACCTAGTCTTGACAAAATATTTGAAAAAGAAGCCGTTTGAGCCATTATTTCAACAATGTTGGATGATGTTGGCCCAACAATGTTGGATCCGTTTAAACAGGGCTTAAGAAAATGGGACTTTAAAAAAACACATATGATGCAAAACTGCAGCCAAAAGCCATTGTTGTATTTCAAATAGCCGAAAAATAGGATAGACTCATTGTGAAACTTGTTAATATCTTACATTTATCAAGCTTAATAATTATGTAGTTATTGTACGTTTATAATTTATAAGCGCATTATCTACAATTTAATGAACCGTGAAAAAAACAACTGGAAAGGACTTTGGGAAAGTCTACAAGCTTACCTTGTGGCATAGTGGTTTAGGCACCACTTCCTAAGAGTGGTTCTCGAGTTTGAATCTTGTATGGCTCTGTTTTATTTTCAAATTTTATAAAAAAAATTTTCATATTCTTTTGAGTCTGATTTTAAGGTTAGGTCTTAGGATTAGGAATTAGGATTTAGGGTTGTACGTGGTGTGGTTTAATTTTTTTAAGAGAATATTAGTTTTAACACTTTAGGACTAAATTTCCTGACTGCCGGACAGGCGGATGCACATACTCCACGTAGTACTTTGATTTCTATTTCTGATAGTATTTCGATTCCGATGCCGGAATTATAAAGTTTGATAGTTTAGATACATGTGATGGATATTTTGAATATATAAACTAGATCGAGTACACAAAGTATGCATACAGTCATTTAGTTTTGATTGAGTACACCATGAATATCTGCCACCGTTTACTTTTTATCGAGTACGTGTATGATAAAAAGCATACATTCACAAATACTTGATCAATTACGCATATTAAAATGCATTATTATTACATTTTTTTAAGAGTACACAGTCGATAGAGACTACAGTCGATAGATGTAAGATAACGAGTTTCACAAATCCTATTTGAAATACAACAATATGGCTTTTGGCAGTTTTGTATCATATATGTGTTTTTTGAAAGCCCCATTTTCTTACTTCCCCAACGTGAAAAACGCTAAAAATCTTTATTTTAAAATAATAACAAAAATTTGTAAATTATAATAGTATTAAACAATGTATTTTATCATAAAGGATTTTGGTTTTTCTACTGCCCCGTACTCTGTGTGCTCTGTGTGCTCTGTACTCCGTGTTTTGCTAATAGCCTAAAACATGAGGCTTTTGGCCATTTTGAGCTTTAATAATTGTGTCCACGGGACTGTGTTTATTTGAGGCCAGTTTTATACTATTTCAAACAGTCCGTGCAATTATAGAATCAATAAAAAAGTCTGTCGTCCGCCGTCCGTTTCCGCTTTTTATCTACCACAAGGGGCTTTAATGTCAGGCCCGAATTGGTGTTTATTTCCTGTTCGCAGGTAAAATTGTAAGCGCTTGATAAAATCACGGTTAATAGACGTAGATAACGTTCGTGTACGAAAGATTTCATGTATGTACTCATAAATAGTTTTATTTGTTGTAACATACTTCCCTTTCCGAGAAGAAAAAAGTTAGACGTTTTCTAAAAAACTGATAAAAGTTTGGTCCGTATGAGGATCGAACTCATGACCTTAGCGTTATTAGCACCACGCTCTGCCTACTGAGCTAACGGACCAACACGTTTAAGCAACGTAAAATAACTCTTTTTAACTATTAGGATTTCAGTGGAGATGGACATCTGGGGCCGGTTGTATCAAAGGCGTTTAACTCGCTAACCACTGTTTAACTCGCTATCCGCCGGATAAAATTTAAACGCTCGAGAAATCGCGTTGTATCAAGCCCGTTTAGGGCTATCCACCGGTTAAATTTTGCCTATCCACCGTGTAAACTTATACGGTCTCTTGAGACCGTTTAAATCGCTATACGGCGGATAAACTCGGAGTTTGAAGATAAAACAATGACTCCCAATTTTAGCTATTGTAAAACAAACAATGACTTTGGAAAGCCAACAAGTATACAAAATAGACAACAAGACGCCGAAAGTCGAAAAAAATTGTTCGCTCGCGTTAATCGCTTTGATCAGCCAATCAAAACGTGGTTCAAAATGTTCTTAAAATTGTTTTGAACAAAAGTGCAAGGTCGAGGAACAAATTTCAAACAGTATAAAAACTGAATCAACTAACAAAAGCCAAATACAACTCACAGTTTTTGCTATTGCCTTCGACTCTTCGCATAAAGAAGCCAAAAATCTTTAAAGAAATATCCGTAAGTGAATTTAAGTGAATGAGAAACTCAGCACAATGTGAAAATGAAAAGTTTGATATAGATTTGCAGCAACGAATGGACGAGCAAACTCCAAATAAAAGCGACAACAAACTTTATTGCAAAAGCTTGGTGGAATTCACAAGTTAGATAAAGCTTCAAAAGTTTACAAAGGCCTAGCAACAGCTGACGTAGAGGTAGGAAATTTCAAGAAAATCCGGTTTTCTCCGGTTAAATTAAAGGTTATCCTACGGATAGTTAAACGCGGTACTAAACGGGCTTCGTACAACGCAATTTTATCGGCCGTTTAACTATCCGCTGGATAAGAAATTTATACGCTGTATAGCGGCTAAACACCGTTTAAGTTAAACGCCTTTGATACAACCGGCCCCTGTATAGTATTCTGTGCTTGAGACGTCTTCTCGCACGTCACACACACGTATTAAAATAAAGTGAGAGCATTAAAAGGCGCCGATTTAAAGCGGCCGCCATTTTGCAAAAACGTAAATTAGTCACGCGAGATGATGATTGATGAAGTGTGGAAATCACTTGACCTGCGAGCTTGCGAGTCCGAGCTGTTTTTGTGATGAGTGGAAAAGAGGCCTTTAAATTAATGATGCTTTAACTTTAAGACGAGTTATTTCAGCATTTAGAGGCGTGTTGGTCCGTTAGCTCAGTAGGCAGAGCGTGGTGCTAATAACGCTAAGGTCATGAGTTCGATCCTCATACGGACCAAACTTTTAAAGTTTTTTTCTTTTTTTTTTCTTATATCTTGTGCCATACAAAATTATTTTTCATTAATATTTTACACGAATATCCTTCGAAAAAGAACGTTATTAATTATTTCATTAGCCGACATTTTCTGCTTAAAAGCTTACCTGCGATCAGGCATAATATTTATATGCCAATGAACTCTATATGTAAACTGGAGTGATAACTCGCCACTCCAGCTTTATTTTTGAAGCCAAGATGGCGGAAATTGAATGTTTACAGGTATATTATTTTAAGATGGAAATTGTGGTGCTAATAACGCTAAGGTCATGAGTTCGATCCTCATACGGACCAAACTTTTAAAGTTTTTTTCTTTTTTTTTTCTTATATCTTGTGCCATACAAAATTATTTTTCATTAATATTTTACACGAATATCCTTCGAAAAAGAACGTTATTAATTATTTCATTAGCCGACATTTTCTGCTTAAAAGCTTACCTGCGATCAGGCATAATATTTATATGCCAATGAACTCTATATGTAAACTGGAGTGATAACTCGCCACTCCAGCTTTATTTTTGAAGCCAAGATGGCGGAAATTGAATGTTTACAGGTATATTATTTTAAGATGGAAATTGTGGTGCTAATAACGCTAAGGTCATGAGTTCGATCCTCATACGGACCAAACTTTTAAAGTTTTTTTCTTTTTTTTTTCTTATATCTTGTGCCATACAAAATTATTTTTCATTAATATTTTACACGAATATCCTTCGAAAAAGAACGTTATTAATTATTTCATTAGCCGACATTTTCTGCTTAAAAGCTTACCTGCGATCAGGCATAATATTTATATGCCAATGAACTCTATATGTAAACTGGAGTGATAACTCGCCACTCCAGCTTTATTTTTGAAGCCAAGATGGCGGAAATTGAATGTTTACAGGTATATTATTTTAAGATGGAAATTGTGGTGCTAATAACGCTAAGGTCATGAGTTCGATCCTCATACGGACCAAACTTTTAAAGTTTTTTTCTTTTTTTTTTCTTATATCTTGTGCCATACAAAATTATTTTTCATTAATATTTTACACGAATATCCTTCGAAAAAGAACGTTATTAATTATTTCATTAGCCGACATTTTCTGCTTAAAAGCTTACCTGCGATCAGGCATAATATTTATATGCCAATGAACTCTATATGTAAACTGGAGTGATAACTCGCCACTCCAGCTTTATTTTTGAAGCCAAGATGGCGGAAATTGAATGTTTACAGGTATATTATTTTAAGATGGAAATTGTTGTAAAAACACAACCAGAGCCATGTAGGCCGTGGGCCATTGGCCAACATTATTACGCTTCTTGGCAACCCCCTGAGGAATAGATTTTCTGTGGTTCAGTGCATAGTACCATAGATGCTCAATTACCAGAAAAGGTCCCCCCCCCCCAAGCAAAAAACTTGCCAAACACCGAGAAAATGGGTGATCAGTAATTATCCCCTATTAAATTCTATTACAGCAAGAAAATGTGAAATTTTATATTCAATTACAACAAAAATTACTTGCATCATCAGAAAGCTTACGAAAAAACGCATATAAGACTTTTAAACTGGTTTTTTTTTTAAATACTTTATTGGATGGTGACCAAACGGTAGGAGTGCGAACGGGACTCGAGGTCCCATGCGAGGCACTCCTCCGATTAAAGATACAACAACAGACAGTACATGTAGAATAAAATATACATAACTACGGTCATAAATAAACATATGCCACCAACTCGAAAATCAAAGCTAAGATTTATGATGCTTAAAAATTTAGTGATAGCAATAATACCTTGAAATGATGTAAGGAACAATTAAATATAAAATTTTAAATGAATATAAAATAATCAAGCAATAGCATATGTTTATCTTACACGTTTATGAACTCTATGACATGAACGATGTAATGACCACGTACAGGCCATGTCTACGTCGTAACAAGAGAGTAGTAAATGTAAATATGTCCTTGATAAAAACTATCTGAACATAGTTACTTAAGTCTGAAGGTTTAGCAGTTCTAGACATACGGTTCCAAAGGGGAACGATACGATTAAAGTACGATGATTGGAATGTACTTGTTTTACACAAAGGTACTTTGAGCATTAGGCTAGGATTTACACAATTACGAGTACGGCTGTGGCTTACGAATCAGAAATATTCAAATCATAATATCTATACATAGCATAAAAAAAGAATGTTAAGTCCTTTATCGTGATTAAGGGCCAACAAACTTTATCTTTATTAAGGGCCAACAAACGATCTTTGTATGAGACCTCTCCTATCTTTACTTGAATGATCCATCGTGTGGCACGCCTTTGAATCCTCTCTAGGTAGATTTTGTTGGAATTTTATTGGTGGACAGAGACGGTGACCAGACTTCTGTAGCATAACCCATGTGGGATTTCACTAAGGATAAGTATAATGTCCTTCGAGCAACGCGATCTGTTGACAAGGCCGGGGCACGTTCTCCGTAATAAGCCCAGCATTTTTTTGCCATGGATACAATTTGAATGATGTGTTGATTCCAAGATAACTTTCCTGTCACAGTAATTCCAAGGTCAACCTCACTATCCACACGTACCAGTTCAGTTGAACCAAGGTAGTACTTTGTTTCAATTGGGCTTTTTCGGCGGGATATTGTTAGAACTTTACACTTAGATGCGTTGAAGTCAATATTGGATTGCTTGCTCCAATCGTCAGCGTGCGACAATGAATCCTGTAGAAGGTCACAATCCTGGCGCGATCTTAAAGTTTTGTATAGCTTTGTATCGTCAGCATACAGACCGGTTGATGTTGATGGAGGAATGATGTTAGGGAGGTGATTGATAAAAAGAAGGAACAGCATAGGACCCAAGATACTACCCTGAGGGACACCGGAGGTAACTTGAGACCATTCTGAAGTTGCACCATCGACAACGACACGCTGAGTACGACCACGCAAATGATCAGTAAATCAATTGTACATGTTGCCTGAGATACCGTAAGATTTGAGTTTCTTCAATAAAATAGTATGATCAACGGAATCAAAGGCTTTAGCAAAGTCAAGAAAAAGAACGTCTGTCTGAACGTTACGGTCAGCAATTGTCCAATATGATGTTAGGTGGCTAGAAGTTGTGTGACACATGAGCGACCATGAAGGAATCCGTGTTGCGATTTATTAATCATATCCTGAAAATGTTCAAAGAAATGATGACAAACGCATCGCTCCAAGACTTTGCTGATGATGGAAAGCAGGGATATAGGTCGGTAGTTGGTAGCGGGTTCCTTCTTATTTTTCTTATGAATGTGTATCATCACATGTTCCATTCGTTTTTTGATCCTTCAAATAGTCTCTGACTGTTATTGCTGTTTTAAATGTGAAAATTTGACCAAAATGTCGCAATAAGGACTGGGTACTAGGCCAAAAACTCGTTTTGGACAGCGTATAACTCGAAAACAATTTGAGATATAAAAAAAAACTGTTTAAATGTCCTATATGTAGATTTTTGTAAGCTTTCTGATGATGCAAGTCATTTTTGTTGTAATTGAATACAAAATTTCACATTTTCTTGCTGTAATACAATTTAATAGAGGTCAATAACTGATCACCCATTTTCTCAGTGTTTGGCAAGTTTTTTGCTTGGGAACCTTTTGTGGTAATGGAGCATCTATGGCACTATGCATTGAACCACAGAAAATCTATTCCCCAGTGGGTTGCCACGAAATTGCCTTTCTAAGCACTTTTTCGCACAACGGCCCACGGCCTAGTGTCAATTTTTCTGGAGTAAATGAAAATTCTTTTAAATTTCAGGATGAAAGCAAGCCTCGCTAAGGGATTTTGCGGAGGTTAATTAAACCAAATGTAACCTTTGATCTAGGCTCGTAGTCCTATATTTTATATAGGTTCCTCAACAGGACTCAATTCTTGAAGGAGGGTCAATACAAAAGTAGAGTCCTGTTCCAAAAATTGATTTTTGGTACCATCTCAAATGAAAAGCCCGCACTCTGTCAGGTTGTGTCCCAAGACAGGTTGACCCTCTGCCCTCCACTCTTGGACCCAAAACTAGTGGCCTGGGGAGGAAATGCAATCAAACTTTAACTTGTGTACAACTCTGGCCGATAGTGCTCCGACAGGTTTTGAATTTGTCTGAATAATATTTAACTTAGACAAATTTTGAAGTTGATAGCAACTTACTCCAGCTCTAGTTGAAAGTGAGCTCCAATCCCTTCACACGGTTTCGGAGTTAACCTTAAAGTGCAAATTTTCACTTTGGACTATAGAGTATAGAGTTAATGTCGCTCTATGGTACCTTAATGTATCGACGACTCACCATGCAAACAGGGGCGTAGAAAGCGGGACACAGGGAGCACGTGCTCTCTGAAATGTTCCGATTTTATCTTTTATTTCAACAATATAAATCTCTATACATAACTTACAAACATCATGACCGCCATGCTTTTCCTGGTCTCCCCTGTCCGAGTAGTCCTGGACTGTAGATTCCTCCAAAATTTTTATAAGTCAATCCTACACTATTTATTTAACAAAACACAGACATAACTAACTGTCAACTAACGATAACGTCGAAACATTCACTTCAGTTTATGGTATTTATAACTTAGCTGTGTTTTCCCACCGCTTTACCCATGACATGTATTGATATGTCCTTGTTCTTATTCATCTATATCAGCAGTAATCTTCTCCCATCTCGTATACTCTTCACTTCGTCATATTCCTATTCCTCTTGCTGTATATCCGTCACTACATCCTGTCTCCTTGTCCTGTCATCTGGTCGTGTTTAATACCACCGCTACCACATCCATTGCTAGGTACTTTGAGCAATTTAAAGAATGACGAATTTCGAGTAATAACGTGTCCAGGGCCGTAGCTAGAACGATAATTTGGGAGGGGGTGTATATTCATATATTCGTGTTCTGCCCGACGGATTTCTTTTGAAATCGATTGTTTTTACGGTATGTAAACATGAATATATGAATATACACCCCCCCCCCCAATTATCGTGTCTAGCTACGGCCCTGAACGTGTCTTGGATTAACTCTTGAGGCGGTAATCATTGTACCTTTTGTCACTGTATATGGTTTAGGACCTTTCCTTTTCGTTCATTACGCACCAGGACCAGATCACCAACATTTAACATAAGACTTTCGATCTGCATACTGCTTTGCTTGCAATTTCTTTTCCGCATCTCTTTCACGTACCTTGTTATCGCTGCTATGTGACGTTGACAGCTCTGGGATCCGTACTCGATACAGTCGTGTTTGGAACAGTAGATCAGCCGGACTTTTACCTGTTGTGGTATGTGGCGTTACTCTGTAATTCCGAAGAAATTTAAAGAGTTCCTGTTTCCAACATTTCCGTGAATTGAAGAAGTACGCACTACTTTGTTTATCTACCAATCCATTAGTTTGTGGATGGAGAGGGTAATGACTAATGTTGTTATGTTGAATTCCCATAAATTCACAGTAATCGCTAAAGGTTTTCGAGTTAAATGGAGCCTTATGGAGGCCCATTGTCACTCCTCAACTAAAATGGGATACCATAGGACGACAAAATGCTGTCCAGCTTTGGAATTGTTGCTTTAGCCGATGTTGATGCTGTCAGTAAATTCGATCTCAGGAAACCTTGAATATTCGTCTATAACGACCCAGACACAATCTCCCGATGGTAGCGGTCCATAGTATAGTCAACTGCTAAGCTTTCCCACGGACCATTTGGAAGCTGTGTAGACCGGTTCCTGTGATGGCGTATTCACAGTACCTGGCATGCAATACAGGGACCAACAATGGCTAATACTGCGTCGTCCATCTTGGGAAACCATACTCTAGACCTGAGCAATTGTTTGTCCTTAACGAGGCCTTGGTGACCTTCGTGTGCTACCTTGATAACCTTGTTTTGTAACGACTTCGGTGTCATGATTCTGTTACCCCTCAATATGACCCCTTTTGTGATAGAGAGTTTTTCTCCTACAATTCTATGTTGTCTAAATTTTGCACCATCGATAGTCCGTTGATTCTCGATAGCCTTGTAAAAATCGCAGAGGACTGGATCGAAATGGGTCGCGGAGTGAATTTCTTTGATCTTTGGAGATGGAGGAACGCCATTAGTAACAACCCAATTGACGTGCGCTTCTAGTTCTGCCGATTATTTCAACTCTCGTTTTGAACATTGGGACAACGGTAGGGGTACCCTGGGTGCCAGAGCCTCTTGTCGCCAGAGCCTCTAACCGACGCTCATCGGTTAGAGGCTCTGAAACAACCAATGAAAAGACTCATATAAATTTAGACCAATCATAAACAGAGTTCAAATATTGTACTCACCAAACTGAGGCTGGATGCTCGTGTGACCAGAGCCTCCTCGTCGTGTCCTCACTTCTATCACAGGAGGCTCTGGCACCCAGAGTACGGTAGGGGTTGTCTTGAGGTGTAATCTGCAGGATTCAATTTACTAGGCCGGTATACAATCTTAAACGAAAATCCTTGTAGCTTTAATTAACGCATACGCTCGACTCGGAAAGGACCTGGTTGACGTGGACTGTTGTAAAGACCGACTAAATGTTTATTATCTGTAATTACCTATATAACTCTCTACCCAGTAAATAAGTCTCGTTTCTAAGGCATTATCGTTCCTATCTCACTTTTCAATCCCGTATTCAATTATATTACGCACTAATCTACCCACACTTGCTATATTGTAGCACAGTCTGGGGCAATGCTAATAACGATCTAATTACGTGCCTACTAAAACTACAGAAACGTGCAGCGAGACTAATTCTTGAGCAGTCAACTGAAGTGCCTTCAATTGTGCTTTTCCGTAAACTCAACTGGATACCTATTTTTAATTTGATCAAAATGAGAAAAATATTATTGGTATTCAGTACTTTAAAAACATCTTGGCCGCTGGATCTTCGTAAATTGTTTGTCTTTGTTCGCGACTCTCATCCAATTCCAACTAGATCGTCTATTACAGACTTAAAAGTTCCATCAGTTAAGACCACGCAAGCAAAATCCAAAATTTCCTTCAGTGGTGCAAGTTTATTTAATTCTTTACCTTCCGAATTAAAAGATATTGAAAATCATTCAATTTATTCCAATAAAAAGAAGCTCAAAACCTACTTTATTCAATTGAATTATGACGTAGATCACGTTAATTAATTCCGCTGCATCGATTGTAAGCATATTACTCATTGTCAATGTTACTCTCAATAGGATTTTCTTTTTATATATTACTATTAGATATCGAGGGCCATTGGGAAGAATACTATTTTAAGTAATCAATGTAATCCCTCATTAAATAAAGTTTTTATTATTATTATTATTATTATGGCCAGGGACTCTCGATCTATCTGGCCATATCTCCTTTCTAAATCGGTCAGAGATCGGCTTGCGTACGTGACGACTCGGGGTTTCTGTGTCCTAGCGTCATACTGGACAAGCGTAACATTTATGCCAACTGGAGAACCATCACACACAACCGCTGTTTTCAGGCTAGGATTACAATAATTCAGCCATGCTGTCTTACGTAAGTTATCCTTTATCGCTTCAAAAGATTTCTGGTGTTCCACGCCCAACGTACATTCTTTTGTGTCAAATCATGTAGCGGTGCAGCTACAGTTGCATAGTTGTGTATAAACTGAGCTGAATAATTAGTCATGCCCAGGAATTACCTTAACTCTGCCTGGTTACTCGGGGCTGAAAGATGTTGAAGGGCTTCCACCTGGTCCAAAAACTGGTCCAAGACGTTGAAAAGTAGTACTTAGAGCACGATGCCACGGTAGTAGTCTTCTTCATCAAACCCAGATACCAATATATCATCATGGATATTCCTAACGCCAGGAATCTCTTCCAGTTTCTTTCTTAACTCCTCGTGGAAAATCTATGGAGCTGAATTTGTCCCAAAATTTAGTCGACAACAGCGTCTCAGTCCCACATCACCACATGAGTTGACAATGTTGTAATGCCTTTGCTTTCTTCATCTAAGTCTAACTGATGGAAGTCATTATAGTTAAGTCCAACTTAGAACATATCTCCATTGAGGTCATGACTTAGCTCTTCTATTGTTGGAATAACATGCCGGGTCCTCTTGATAGCCCGGTTAGGTTCAACCATATCCACGCACATTCTGATCTCGTTTGAGTCTTTCTTTTGAGATATCACTATTGGTGAAATCCAATCAGTGGCAGAATGTACGGCCTCAATGGTTGCCTTTTCGAGACGAGACAGTTCAGCTTCGACTTTATCCCTTAAATGGAATGGTACCCTTCTGTGCTTTTGGGCCACTGGAACTACAGTCTCATCAATATGAAGTTTCACCTTCACTCCTTTCAATTTTCCAATACCCTGGAAAATACGTTCTTTGTAGGATTGCATTGATTGCATGGCGATAAAATATATAATACTTTTTGTTTGTGGAAACACCACGTGGTGTTTCCACAAACAAAGAGTACCCTGGAAGTTTCATCCAACAAGTTCATACAACATCCCTTTCAAAGGTGCTGCTAGCTTAGGACTGTTTACTTTTGGCAGAAACAGCCCTTGCAGATGCTTCAGTTGCCCTTGATGTAGTACCAGATTTACATTTCACTTGGTTGACTCTGTGTCATATACCGAGATTTACAGCCGATGTAGAACCTAACAGACATCCTGATGATTTTGATCCTTTGATCACATAGAAATCTGCTACATCATACCGCTAGCGCTTCTTTGTCGCTATTGTGTGCCGTTGGTCAGCACCAGGGGAAGTGGTGATGAAGAGTTCTACCCAAATAATTTGGCATTAGATTTCTTTAGAGTTACTTGTCCTTTTAATTTAACAAAAGGTTCCTCATCTATTATGTCGACATCGGCCCCTGAGCCCAGGGTTTATTTTAAGAAAAAATTAGAACTGCACATAGGGATGTTACGAAGGCAACGGGTGTTTGACTGAGGAGGGGGGGGGGGGTCGAAGGATTTTTT